AGTATCGAAGTCAAGTGACGGTTTGTGGGCTTGGCGCCAGCGCTACACACTCATTTGATTCCCACGTACAGATTTCTGCATAAAGATTCGTGAAGTCTCCAAACACTATCTCTCGACACACATTGGTTGACCAATAGTGTGGTATGCCCCACAACTGCACTTAATCTGGCTTTGTACTGCTTTTCAGCTCTGTAGGGTGTTTCGTAACTCACTTTCACATAAAAAAATTAGCATGTGTAATATTGTAAACTCGAATGAACAAAGTTGCTAACCTTTGGTAGGTATTCAAAATTTTTTGTTTCAATGCCACGAAGTTGGATGTATTGTCGCTGTAGGTAGGTTGGCAGATCAAGACTGTTTCTGAAAATCGTTCCCGTTAATTGCACAGAACAGATACCTTTCAAGGAAGATTCCACGAAGACTTTTTACGAAGGCTGCGAACTGTTTTATTCTTGTTAATTGTATCGTGGACTGAACTGAGCCAGGTCTATACAAATTTTACGGAGAAAACAGATATACCGACGAGCGCGCACCAACCTAATCGCCTGCTTCGCTGTCATATTATCCCGAAAGATAAATAAACAGACGATGAGTGTTCCGGTTCGTCCTAGGGAATGCATAAATCGGAAAATATAAAAACCTAGGCCAGCATGACAATGTACAGCTACTCGTCCTTGCTCAAGCGCAAACATCATGACTTTAACAGCATCTAATACACTTCGAATAGACCCTGCTCCGTAGTCCTTCCAAGCAAAATTGTAGTAAAAAACTATGATAGTTTCGCTTGGGTGAGGTCAAGCGAGGGCCTACATCCAGCTTCCATAAAGATTTCAGGGTCATAGGAAAATCCAGTCTTGTTGATACCATCACCACAATGGGGATGTTCACCCGGTATTTGCATATTTATTATTGTCTTAATCTGAAACCTGATTAATAAGGATAGGCTGAAAATACACATACTCTTTAAAAACATTGATTAAGTTCTTCTTTCGGATAATTTCTGTAGACGGTCGCGCGGTAGCCAGTATTTCATCGGTAATCCTGCAAATATAATTTTTAGATAACTGCCACTTGCCATGTCGAAAGAAGACCGGGCACAGCACATTCACTTGATTTAAGGCGACGCGTAGACGAGCAGTGAGGACAATGTCTTCCTCTACAGAATAGCTCACAAAATTTTGGGTCAGACATAACTTTCCATTTCAGAGAGTTGTTATGCCACTTTTTAACAACTATTGATAGTCATTGTGTCCAGAAGAGAGCCCTTTGATGTAGAAAAGGAACATTGATGAAACAATCACCATCTAGTCATAATATATTTATATTTAAAGTTCATTTCGTAAAAACTGGAAGGCAGGCATCCCAAGAGATGTAATTTCAATGAAAGTCGTCCTTTTGTAAAACTAACAAATTTATTCAGTAAAATTTCGACACTGGATCTCCAGGTCGTCGTCAGACTGGAGAAAAGCGT